TCTGACAGTTTACTACGGTCATCGAGCACAGCCAAATGTCCGTGAAATGGTGAGAGATTTTGTTACAATACATATATTATTATTCTGGGTAACTCAGGTGAAACTGTTTCCGATTGCAAGCTTTCTCATGTATATAGATGTAAAGTCCAAATACTTTCCTTGTTTTATTCTTTAATTTTAGAAAATAAATTAACTCTCTTGTGACCTGAGTATGGTGTTGCCAAACCACTCTGGCACTATAGGGGCATTTATCTCAGCGTGAGTACTAACATGTAAACCCGTAATGTTAAAGTGGATATTTAGTTTAGAAACTTTTAATTAACCAAGACAAAATAACAGAAACCATAATAACCATGATTGGTATAATGTTGGTATCTTTTCCCCTCTCAAGCAGAACCTATGCAGATTGAATGCAGATCGTATGCTGATCGTCATGTTACGATCAGGTGTGGGTCATAAGAAATGACCCTGGGTCCCTCTATTTCTTTCTTTACATGTAAATTGATCTCCATCAAAATGTTTACCGCGCCGCGGAAAATTCACTTTATATATTATTAGATCTTATAATTAATAAAATTAAAATACATATATATATATATATATATATATATATATATATATATATATATATATATATTTTTTTTTATAAAAAAAAATTATAACATAAATATGTTATAAAATCACTACAAAATAGCCATTTTGTTTCAACACCCTCGGTGTCTTATCAAGTGATGATGTTGAATATAAAATAAATGGTTTTAAAAGTTTCAAATTAATTAACGACCCTTCGCTAAGGAAAAACATTGTTACAAAAGCTAGAATGACCAATCAAAACCCAAGTATAGGAAGATTCAAAAGCTTGACGGATCTTTCAAATTTCAAATAGTTAATTATTTTTTTTTTAAAAAATAATTATATCTGCTCTACTTTGTATTGAGCACTCTTTTAAGAATAGTAATTGTTGGTTATTGAATTCATTCCGTATACACCAATTATATACTTGTGTATATATATATATATATATATATATATATATATATATATATATATATGAAGAATCAGCAATAATATTAGGTTTGACTTGGTATTTTATTTCGACTTCAGACACCTATCCCCCACCGTAAAGTTGCCTCACCGGAACTTTCTATAAATATCTTCAACTCTTCGGGTGAAATTTTCGCAATGATAGCTTGATTTTATGAATTTATGGTTAATACAAGACTGGCGATGAGGTCTCTTCAATTTACGATAAATGTTCACCGTGAGAACAGTTTATCTAGTTACCATAAATAAAATAGCCTCGTGTTCTGAATTACGTTTTAATTGTTGTTAAGTTAAATGTTCGCAAGACGGGGACTTTGATGCCGTCGTAGGAGGGGCAAAGACGCTACTTGGTTTCATTGAGAAAAAGAAAGAAATAAAGAAAGAAGCGTTTCAGGGGAAAAAAGGAGCAAGTTATCAATTTCAAATCATTTCATTTTTAACCACTTCTTAAAATAACGTATTTCTGATGGTTATTGCAATATTTTGTTAAAGTTGTTATGCTCAAAGATTTAACGATGCGATAGAAGAATTTCTACGCATGTCTTATTGTCATAGAACTCGTTAAGAGCTTAATCAATCATTAACTTAAGAATTAAGATTCATCAGAATATTAAAGTAGAGAAACTTTGAAATATTCACTGAAAACTAGTGAAAACTATTATTATTATTATTATTATTATTATTATTATTTTCCTTTGATTTCTGGTGTGTGCTCATTTCTTTCCGGGTCCCGACGAGAAACCTAAGGTCAGAAATGGCGTCATGACATTTTCCAGTGAGCAG